CAAAAAAGGAAGACTAGCAATGCTGCATGGAGAAAGTAGAATGGGACAATGGGACTTCAGCAAAGGAGTTTCTCGTGCTGTGACTGAAGAAGGTCAGAATACTGACTTTCATACTATCTGTTCTGGATGTAATCTTCCTCGTCCTGCTCATACTCACCTCTAATGTGTGCATCACAGCTGTCATCCTGAAGAGCCCATCTGGAATAGGAGTAAGAAGGCCTTCTCCACCTGCTCCTCTCACCTCACTTTCATCACCCTCACCATTGTCTAAACACTACCCAGAACAGTCCATCTGAGACAGCTCAAAAAAGTGTTTTCCTTTTTCTATACCATCCTCATACCCTTGGTCTACAGCCAGCAGAACAGGGAGGTCAGGGAGGCAAAGAGGAAAGCACTCAGGAAAGCCCTGATCGACATCCAGGGTTCACAGTATTTGCAGTCACTTGGATCAAAATTACTTCTTTTTCTCCTTTGAATTGACAACAAGAACATGGGAAATAATTTGTACCTGCTGGGTTGACCTGTAGAAGTGGGTGGCATTGGGAGTGTTAGTGCCATATCAAGAAGAGAGAGGGAAAATATCCTTTCACTTGAAATATATGACTTGTTTCAAAGAGAAGGGAGAATGTGTCTCTGGTTTGCTTGTTCTTTTGAAATATGTGAAATATTTCATATGTGAATATTCATATGTGAATATTTCATATTTCATATGAAATATATGTGAATATCTTCCTTTATGAAGGAAGAACTGAAAATGTCAGAACTTTCTTTTCTACATAGACAGAATAAAGGTATCTTGGTTGAAAGTGAGCTTCCTCCAGGAACAAATGTGTTAGTGTTTTTCTAGGAGTGAATTCCTCAAAGAGCAGGCACTGCCTTAGTTGGACATACCTGTCCAGGGCAGAAGTCTGTGTATCAGCCCCTAAACCATGTTACCCTTTTATTCTTTGGAGTTCTGTGGCTCAACACAGGTGCCCAGATGCATGCCATTCCCTCCTATGATTCAGCATGATCTCAGGGATCCCATACATCTGTTTTGACTTAGCAGATGGGGCAAGGGCTTAGTGAAGAGGTCTACCGGAATCTGGGGTACAAATGGGGCAGTATGGACATGTGTGGGCATCTGAAAGGGCCATTGGGGCCCATATGTGGCATCAGCATTCACAACTGCAGGCAGGGACTCCAGTGCCAACTCATCTGCAATTCAGGCTATCCTACAGTGGATATTAATGCAGAACACATGCAGTGTGCCATCAGAGCACCTTGTTCATCAGAGCAGGCCTCTCCGTGGCCTTTCCAGTGAGCCTCAGCGATCAGAACAAGCAGACAAGGCTCTTCGGATGGCTTTCCACCTTGAGAAAGATGAACCATCCCTAAAGCCCAACTCCTGCACCTGCCTCAAGCCCTCCTCTGACCTGGCTTTCATCATTTGGGATGGCCATTGAGGATATCTGCCTGTCTATTGTGGGGACATCTGCTGGAGCTTGGATTGTCAGCTGAGGCTCCCTTTCCACCCCACAGTGGCTCCCTTTTCACCCTTACCACCCACTCAGCCAGATCCCCCCTTCAGATACTTGTACACGTTGATGAGATCCCCTCTCAATCTTCTCTTCTCCAGGCTGAACAGGCCCAGCTCTTGCAGTCTTTCTTCATAGGAGAGATGCTCCAGCCCTCTAATCATCTTGGTAGCCCTCCGCTGGACTCTCTCCAGGAGTGCCATGTCTCTCTTGTACTGGGGAGCCCAGAACTGGACACAGTACTCCAGGTGAGGCCTCACCAGGGCTGAGTAGAGGGGCAGGATCACCTCTAGGATCACAGATGTTCCCAGGAAAGCTGGTGGAGCTGTCCTGATTGACTCCAGAGGACTTTGTGTTCTATTTTGTTCTCACTGCCATGAGATGTGCTCATGCAAATGAGAATTCAAAAAACAACAAATAAAATGGTTGAAGGAGAAATATTTCCAGTGTGGTCTTTAGCACCCAGGAGACCCATAACAGGGCTGAAAATGTTGAAGTCCCTATCTTATTTAAAGGGAAACTCATTCCCTGGAAACTCATGGTCATTATAATAGTGTGACCAAAAAGATCAAGAAAACTAACAAAAAAAATTACACAATTCCCCATATCCCCCAGTAAAATGAAATGAAAAAACAGACTGAAGGTATTCTTGTCCTTTTTTCCGTCCTTCCCACCAGAGGATGGGAAGTTCTACAAACTCTGTGAAATTGTATAGTCATTTCACTAATCTTAAGCTAAAAGGGAAAAAAAAGGCTGAAGACAAATCTGATGTTGTTATCTGAAGTGCGAAATTTGATTCATAAAGCCATTTTACTTCATAAAGCCATCCTTAATTAGGTGAGAGGAGCTGTACTGTGGGTATTGACCCTGGCTCTTTTTCACCTTCTTTGACCATCTGACTGATACCGACAGGCTCTTCAGCCCCTTCTGCACTGACCACTCCTAGGGTTTTAGCATTTAAGTCATCTGTGACTTACAAGTGTGTAACCTTGTGTTAGACTGCTGAGAAACAACTAAATTGTGAGAAAGAACTATGAGAAGCCTCGTGCAAAGCCTCTACCCATGACCCTCTGCACACTGCAGTGGGTGGCCAGCTCATGACAGTTATTGGTACCTTGCCTGTGCATGCATAGCTTTCTCACCTGTTTCAGTTCCACTGACACTGCCATGAACTGAGCCTGTACATTTAACTTATGCCCCATTCCTGCCCTGTGGCCCTCTGGGGAGAATCTCCCCTACTGCAAGAACACCAGATTGCTGATGTCACCACCTTAAATATTCATGCCAGAACCCTACTACAAGTAATATAGTCTGGCAGACCCTCCTCCCACAGGAACCCTTTGATCTAGCTGGGTGTGTTCACTGAGAAAAGGGGAACTGGAAGTGGAAGGATTTGGCAATCTTTACTTGGCTGAGACAAGGGTTGTGACAGCTGGGTGCTTCCCTCTGCATATCTACATTAATCTAACTCAGCAGTGGGATTATTACAGATTACTGGGCAAGCAGCTGAGTTCAGCTGTAACCACTTGGGAATTCCTTCTGTTAGCCACTGGCCATTGCTGGGTCCTGCTCCACTACTATCTATGCAAACACAGATTCATCGCCCCTCTTCCCGTGGGTACCTTTTGTAGTCTGTGCTTCATTGTTCATCCTGATGGATCTTGGCTCTCCAACAGCCATGCGCACGTTATCAGTGGCTGTAATGGTGGCTGCAGGTAGGGAGGAAGGGACCCTTGAGGAGCCACTCTGAGCTCACACTCCATGGAGATATCTTCTTTCTCTCTGTCCGTAGGAAAACCTGCGAAAGTGTCTCCCAGCTCGCTGTTGCTAGGAAACATAACTCAGTTCACAGAGTTTAAACCAAATCAAGAACAAAGTGATATATTCATATATTAGTGACATGTAAATAGCTGACAATAGTGAACTATACATTCAGGATTAATATCAGCAATAGATCAAATAAACCAGTGCTAGACACTTAAAAGATGTCAATATACACCTAAAAATTTCTAAAATCCCTTCTATATCTAATCCCCAAAGGCTCTCATTTCCTCTGCACAGAGTTACATGCACATGCTTACACTCCTTAACTCCTTTCATCTATACCATCATGTGCAATTAAGGCCATGGAGGCATTATGACACATAGTGCCACATAGGAGGAAGCTGCATTAATTCCAGAGCAGCTGGGTCATCTGTGGTGGAAGAAATGTAACTTTATGCAGCAATGAAATGCAAAAGGACTCCTGAGCTGGTCACAGAGGGGATCAGAAATATAAATTCATGTGTTAAAAACCTTTCACTATTTGATTTTTGATCATTTTAGGGGAATAAACAATCTATTGTTAAAATCCTCTTCATCACACTGCCGTTCTTCCATAAGGTATTTTAGGCCATCTTACCCTAAAGACTGTAAGACCAACTGTGGCTGAGTGGAAGTGCTTCAACTGATTCCAGGTGAAGTATGTGGTCCCTTTCCAACAGTATTTCTGCTATGTGAGAGAACCTAGGCATCTGAGTTTGAGATCAGGGAAGTGGAAGGTAGTCTTGATGCCTAGGTTCTCTGGGAAATCAGGGACATGTTTCAGAGGGTGAAAAGATCCAGACAGGGCACAATTAGTAGTACTAGTGGGTAGACTGGTAAATACTTGAATGGGTTTATGGATGAACGGATGGGTGGCTGGACATGCAGTTGCATGAATTAGTTGATGGGTGCATGCATGAGTTAATGGATGGATGAATGGATGGCTGGATGGGTTGGTGGGTAGATGGATCAGTGGATGGATGCAGTAGCTGTTTGATGGATTGGTGAATGCATGGACAGGTTTGTGAATGAATGGATGGACTGGCTGGCAGGTGGGTTGGTTGATGAACGGACTGGCTGTTGAATGCACTGGCTGGAGGATGGGTGTGTGGGCAGCTGGATGGATGAGTTGATGGATGGATAGATGAGTTGGTGGATAGGTGGATGGGTGATTGGATGGGTGGTAGTAGGGATGAGCTGGTGGATGGATGAGTTAGCTGATGGATAAAGGAATAGGTGGATTAGTAGGTAGAGGAACAGTCCCCTCCCCACACATGGAAGGTTATAGGGGTACCTCAAGAGAGGAGTGAATAAGATGGTAACTGGAAAATTGATCGGTCAGAGGGATGGGCAGAGAGTACAAGGAGCTCTACAGTGGTTGGGAAGTGGAGGGCATGTGTGCTGTCACCCCTATCCCCTCCACCAAATCCCAAGCTATCAATACACAGAAATGCCTGTTTCTCCTAGGAACGATTCACCAGGTAGGGATGGTGACACCTACCAAGACACCTAGCAGAGCAACTGAGCTTAACTCCAGGGCAGCAGGGACAGAGATGTCACAGTTTCCCCCTCCTTAAGCCCCCAGATGCTGCCTCTCACCCAGTTCCTCTTCCAACTGTGGTTTTGCTGACTCTTACATAAGTATTTCCTGTTCAGTTGCACAAAAGGGAAGTCACACCCAGTGGTTAGAACCATTGCCAGAGGGAGTGAGGCAGAGAGAGACCCTGCAGAGCAGAGGAGACCTGGTCCTTGCAAAGACCCCAGGAGAGTAGACGTGAGTCCTAGGTGTGCAGGGGACAAGGCACTTGAGGCTGGGGGAAGGAAGGGTTCTTGCGGGAAGGGGGAGGACAGTGGCGTAATGGAAGGATGTGCAGGGGCAACTGGGAGGGTTGCAGAGACACTATGAAGGGTTGGAGAAATGACTGAAAGAAAGTAGGGGGGCAGGGGAAGAGCCACATGCTCTGAGCTTCCCCCAATGCTGCCCTGACCCCACATTCTGCGAGCTTGCCCAGCAGTGCCCTGACCACCTATGGGGTTTAAGGAAAGCCCAAGGGGAGCTCCTCCCTCCTTCCTCCTAATTCATTACAATTAGAACTGGGCGGTTAAGGGAGACCTCACGACTGGGGGTCATGAGGGATGTGGGTTTACTTGGGTGTGTGGAGTGGATCAGGGTGTCTGGCACCTAGTTCCCCTTGGGGGTGGGGGGCAGTGGGGTGGACTAGGGCACCCGCTTGCCTTGGTTGCCTGAAGGGCAAGGGCATGTGTGAGGTGGAGCAGGGGAATCCTGCATGCCTGGGTCACCTAGGGGCAGTGGGGTGCTGCAGGAGGAGCTTGGACATATGGTGCCCTGGGGAGTGGTCAAGTGTGTGGGGTGCAGAAGGGTCCCCGGGATACCTGGGTCCTCTGGGAAGCAGTAGAGTGTCTGGAATCTGGGAGCCCCTTACCACTCTGTTCCCAGGTCGCCATGGCCATGAGGTCTCTATGGTTGATGCTGGCTGTAGCCCTGGCCCTGCTGGTGGCTGTGGGTGCTCAGGAGACCCGCTACCAGAAGTTCTTGAGGCAGCACGTGGACTATCCCATGACATCAGGGCTTGCGGGAGCTCGTTATTGCAATGTCCTGCTGATGCGACGTGCAGTTAATGGCCCCGGCAGACCTTGCAAGCCCATCAACACTTTTGTGCATGCACCAGCTCGGCAGCTGCTGACCATCTGTACCCACCAGCCTGATGGGCTCCGTGTCAGTGCAGGGATCCTGCCTATCACAGCCTGTCGCCTGGTCGGGGGGAATGTACGCCCACCTTGCAGCTATCGTGCCTATCAGCTCAACCAGCGGGTCCAGGTGGCCTGTCAATATGGGCAACCTGTGCACCTGGATCGCACCTTCTAGCCAGGCATGGTTAGGGAAGGCCTGATCCCCTTGGATGTCCCTTACCCCCATGGGTGCCTCTTACCCCCTTGGCCTGCCACAAACCCCCCTGTGCTAACCTATTCCCGTGGGCCACGCTTGATCTCCTCGCATTTATCAAAGAAGGTGACCAAAACCCCTGATTTTCTCAGTGCCCCTGGGCTCACCCTAATCTCTTGGCAGTCCCTTAGGCTGCCACTAATTTCCCTAGGTCACTCCTAGCACCTGCAGGCTAACCCTAATCCCTTGGCAGCCCCCAAGCCTCCAGGGATGTTTGCATTCAGGTCTGCCAACGCTCCCTTTGCGGCTTTTACTTCATTCAAGGGAAAAATAGTGCTTCATAGATAACATTAGCATATAACATCACATTTAAAGATCCATTAAAATTACCCAAAAATATCCATGCACAAAGCTTAAAAGACATAATGCACATGAACCAGTTGTGCCTGATCACTGCGTGCTCCAGTCAGCCTGATTGGTGTAATTAGAGTCACTGCATGGGAGGTCCCACCATGTCCATTGCTGGGTGTCCCTGGGCTGGCTGATTCCCACTGAGGTCCCCAGAGGTGCCTTCAAAGAAGCGGACAAGGAAGTCAGCCCCAGAGGACCGAATAAGGTGGCCAGCAGCAAAGGCATAGAGGATGGGGTTGAGGCTGCTGCTGAGGAAGGCCAAGGCGGTGGCCCCTGCCCGGGCACCCTTCCAGGCCCGGCCCAGGTTCTCAGCTGTCTGGCCTGTGGCCACACTGGAGGTGGCCTGCAAGACATTGACCACATGATAGGGCAACCACAGAGTGGCAAAACAGAGCACCACAGCGGCAATCAACCTGCCTGTGCGGCCTCCGCGGTGCCACGGCCGGCCTCGCAGCCGTAGCAGGATGGCAGCATAGCTGCCAGCAATAATGGTGAAGGGCAACACAAAGGCCACAGATGTCTCCAAGGCAAGGTGGAAGACAGCCGCAGCAGGGTGACCATGGCATGGCTCACAGAGCTGGCCAGGCGCAGCTGGGTCTGGCACCACACGGCGGTAGACTAGTGCTGGTGAGGCCAAGATGGCAGCTCCCAGCCACGTGGCCACCAAGGCCTTGGTGGCCACAGCCTTCCTCCGCAGGGTGAGGGAGAGGAAGGGCTGATAGACAGCCAAGCAGCGATCGAGGCTCAGTAGGGTGACAATGAAGACACTAGCGTACATGGAAAGGCCACAGATGTAGTAGAGAGTCTTACAGGCCACCTCACCGAGGAGCCAGGAGCGAGCGGCAAGGAAGAGGCCGAAGAAGGGTGCGAGGAGGAGGATGGCGCCATCGGCCAGGGCCAGGTTGAGCACTAGCACAGCAGTGACAGAGCGGCACCCAGGCTGTGTCCACCGCAGCAGGCTCCAGGCTACAAAGAGATTTCCTGGTAGTCCCAGGAGGGCAGCAGCCCCAAGGAGGATGGCACCCACCACGCGGGAAGCTGGCAAAGACAGCAGGGTGCTGTTACCAGAGATGGAGAGGCACTGGGCAGCTGAGGGGGGCAACTGGGAGGCACTGTGGGAGGAAACAATGGATGAGGAGGGCCACCACATAGCCCCACTCCCACTTAATAGCACCACTCCCTCCCAATAGACCAGTCCCTGACCATAGGGACTCCAACCCTATCATTGTGCTCACAAACCTTACCTCATTTCCACCTCATAGCCCCACTCACACCTTATAAACCAGTCCCTGACCATAGCTTCACTCCCACTACTTGGCCTCACTCCCACACACATAGCCCACTCCAACACCAAAGCCAGCCAACAACCAGGCCAATGAATAACCACTCCAACATCAAAGTCAATATCAACACCCAAATAACAGCCAGGTTCCACCCTGTAGCCTTACTCCCACCCCACAGCCCCATTCCTACTTTATAGCCCAATCCCTTACTATAGCCCAGGCCTACTCCCTACCCAATCAAACCTCCTGGCCTCACTCTCACTCCATAAATTCCTCCCGCATCAAAGACTAATTACAATCCATGTGCACGCTCCCAGCCAATGCCAAATTCCCACCTAATGACCCCATTCCTACCCCAAAACCTACTCCCACCCCCTAATCCCACTCAGTCCCATCACCCCACCCCCTTGGCCCACTCCCAACTCAAAGCCTTACTCCTACCCCCAAGGACACTCCAATCGCAAAGCTCACTCCCACCCCATAGCCAAGCCCCATTCCATAGCCCACTAGCATCCCGTAGCACCATTATTACCCATAGCTCCGCTCCCACCTCATAGCACGGTCCCAACCTAGAGCCCCAGTCCTGCCTTAAATCCCAGCTCCAACCCCATAGCCCAATGCCCCCATATAGTCCAATTGCACTCTATGCTCTCAGTCCCACCCTGTAGCCCCACTCCCACTTTATAGACCAAACCCTCACAATAGCTCCACTCCCACACCATATCTTCACTTCCACTTCACAGCCTCAATTGCATCCTACAGTCCAATACCACCCCGTAACTTCACGTTGACCCTACAGCCCCACTCACACACCGTATTCGCGCTACCAAACCATAGCCCAGTCCCTCAACATGGCCCTACTGACACCCCATGTCCTCACTTCCACACCATAACACCACTCCCTCCACGTAGCCCACTCTCAACCCATATCCCAGTTCAGCCACCCAGCAAAACACCAAAGCCATAGCCTAACTTCTCTCCCATAGCCAAACTCTCAACTCATGGCCTACTCCGGTTTCATAGCCATACTCTCACCTCATAAAAAATTCCTAGCCCATAAGTCCACTGCCAATATGTCCCTAGCTCCCACCCCATAGGTCCCCTGCCACCACATCACCCAATGCCTACCCCATAGCCCACACCTGCACTATATGTCCAATCCCATCTCATAGTCAACCTCCACTTAGACAATTGCCTGACCCACAGCTTCTCTCTTCACCTCATAGACCACCATAGACCTCTTCCACCTCGTAGCCAAATGCCTAATCCATAGTCCTAATTCAACCCTATAGACACTCAACCCTACAGCCATTATTCACCCCAAAGTTGGTGCCAAGATCATAGCCCAGTGACAATCTTACCCTACTCCTAACCCATTGTCGAGAACCCACATCATTGCCCAATGCCCACTCCATAGCTCCACTCCCTCCCCACAGTCCTATTCCTGAGCTATAACTCACTCCCACCTCATAGTCCAACAACTACCCCATAGCCCTGCCTCAAACCCACAGCCCAACCTCACTCCGCAGCCCCACCCAACTCATTGCCTGACGATTACTTTCTAGACCCACTTCCACACAATAGCCTCCCTTGCATTCCATTGTCAAACTCCCACTCCGTAACCCGTTCCCTCTTCTTATCTCAAAAACAATCCCTTAGTTCAAACTGCCCCATAGACCTAAGGCTAACTTGTAGCCTCACTCCCACCTGATAATATCACTACCTCCCATTACCCAACATGTAACCCGTAGCCTCATCTCCATATAAAATATGGCTCCAATGACACCCTGTAGCCCAACACCTATGCCATAACCTAGTCCTGCACTATAGCCCTGCTTCTACCCCCAAACCCAGCAACTACTCTGTAGCCCAACCCCAGACCCATAACTTCATACCAACTCCATAATCTCATACTCGCCCAATAGCCCAAGGCCTAACTCATAGCCACACTCCGACACTGTATCACCAGTGCCATCCCTTAGCACAAAGTCCCCTCTTAAGATAAGGTCAAAGCCCAGACCCTTAATCCTACTCTCAACATTGTACGCAAAGCCCCAGTCCCTATTGCCCACTCCATAGCTTCACTCCCAACTCATAGCCCCTGGTAACCCCACAGCCCACTGCCTAAGCTACAGCCCCACTCTTACTCTCTACTGCATTTCCACCTCATAGTCCACACCTAATCATAACCCAGCTTCCATAATGTACATTGCTCCCACCTCATCGCTCCACTCAAAGTACCTAAGCCAAAATGCACCCTGCAGTTTGAATCCCATCCCGTAACACAATAGCTGCATCTTAGCCCCACTCCCAATTCGTGCCTTACTCCCAATCCATACACCTGGTCCCGTATCATAACACACTCCCTCTTTTAGCCGGAGATGCCCTATAACCCATTTCCATCCCATACCCCTACTCACATCACAACTCTTAATGACCACTCCATAGCCTTTATCCCACACTGTAACTGCAATGCAACTCAGTAGTCTACAACTTGTCCTACAGCCCAATGCCTACCAAATAGCCTCACTATCACCCCATTGCTCATTTGCATCCGGTAGCCCAACATCCATTCCATAAGCTCACTCTCATCTCATAGACCAATGCCTAACCCAATGCCTCACTCTCACACTGTAACCCACTGGCCACTGCACAGCACAGTACCTACCCAATGTCTACCCTATAGCCTCAGGTCAACCCCACAGCCCACTACAAGTCCATATCTTTCACCCATTGTTCCACTTCAGTCCCATAGCTCCACCCATGCCTCACAGCCAAACACACATCCATAGCACCACTCCCACCCCATAGTCCTAAGCCCACCTCAAAGTCCAACACCTATCACATGGACCCACTATCACTCAGCTGCCACAGAACCACCAAAGAGATCACTCTTAAGCCACGGCCCATTCCAGTCCCACTCCATAGCTCACTCTCACCCCATATCCCCACTCTGTCATCATAGCCAAACTCCCACTCCATAGTGCCACTTCTAACCCATAACCAATTCCCATCTCATAGTGCACTCCTCCATGGCACAAAACCTAACCTGAAGCCCCACTCCAACCCATAGCCTCACTTCCACCCCACAGCACAATGCCTACCTGACATCTCTAGTCCCTCCCCATAGACCAACTCTACACCATAGGCAAGAAACCGCCTTATAGCCCCTCTCCCAACACCTGTTCCAAAGTCCCATTCTCACCTCATAGTCCAAAGAAAAACCCACTCCATTACTCCATTCCTATCCCATAACCTATCAGTTGCCTCCTCCCCACTCTAACATTATAGCCTGACAGCCACCCCATGTTCCACTCCCACCTTGTAGCCTAAAACCCAGCCTGTTGTCTTTCTCCTATTCCATTTGCCTTCTCCCATCCCATAGGCCAAAGACAATGCTGTAGAACAACATATACTGCATAGTCCCACTCCTACCACATAACCCCAATTTCACCACCAGCCCCACTCTCACCTTATAGCCCCCATGTCTGTCCTGTACTCCATTGACTCAGATCAGGCTGCCTCCTCTCCCTTTCTTTACTCTCCTCCCTTTACGTCTTCTAAAGATGGAGGACAGAAACCCCAAGCGCTGAGTAATAGGGTGGATACAAACACATTGGATTAGGAGGGACACACACTTCCTCCGCCTTCATCAATGCCTTCTCTTTCCTCCTCCATCCCTGGGTCCCATGGGGATAAGGGCCCAGGCGGAAGAGGGTGGAGGGGAAGGAAGGACAACTGCAAGGTAGTGATAAAGTGGTGGAGAGTTAGAGGGGACAGTTATTGGGATGGAACCATTTATCTCATACCCCTATCGTGCAACATCAGACACCCCCAGTGTCTCCCTCTTCTCCACCACCACAGCCCACGTATCCCACCCCTTCGGCCTAACATACCCCCAAAGGCCCCCATATCCTTGCTGCCACCCACATCTTGACCCCCACCCTCATAGCCCACAGCCCCATATGCTTCCATACCCTCTCAGTATCCCATGACCACAACCCCTCTATATTGATCCCATAGCTCCCACCTTTCCCCATATTCCTTGCCACAGCCAAGCCCTATAGCATGTAATATTCCCACAGCCTCCCACACACCCACAATGCCCCACATTCACTCGTCATAATCCCACTGCTGTCCCCACATTTCCCCATTCCTAGTGACTCAAATGCCATCTTCTCGTTTTCCCATATGCTCCCAGACCCACATTTCTCCACAGTGCCCCATATCCCAGTTCCACAACCCTCATATACCACCATCCCCCATCTCATCCCCACATGCTGCCATATCACCACAGCCCCAGTATCTCAGCCCACCCCATATCCTTATAGTACTCCATATTCCATTTCCACAGGCCTCCATATCACCACATACCCCATGTACCATTCACACAGTCCCTATATCCCATTTCTACAGCTTCTCATAACCCCAAAGTCCACCTATATCTCATCCCCACAGATGCCATATCCCCAAAGCACCCAATAAACTTCTACTGCATTGATATCTCATCAGAAGGGCAGTACTCTGACCCACCATGTTTCCACTGTCCCCATATTCCATCCACACAGTTCTCCCCCATCTCATACATACAGTCCTCCAAAATGCCATATCCGCTCTTGGTGTACCCTATAACCACACAGTGCCAGCCTCAGAGACCCCATCTCCCCATGGTGTTCCATATACTCTTCCCATAGTCCTCCATATACCTGCACTGTCCCACATACTTCTGAATTGCCCTCCATATCCCCACTGTCACCCATTTTCCCCTATTTTCCCACAGTGTTTCCCGTCTCTGACACCTTCACTGCTGTCCCGGAGAACCTAGGCATTGGGACTCCCTACAACGATCCCTTATGCCATCTGCCATGACTCTCCAGAAACCTGTTGGATCCCCTAGGTAGCACTGCCCCAACACCAAAGACAGGGGCAACTCCAAGCAGGAAGCAGAAACAGTGACAGCAGTTGCCATCAGTTTAGTGATAACCAAAAGGACTTGATTTTGTTTGATGCTTTCCTTTCCACCTTCTTCTCCTTTCCTTCCTTCCTTCACCCACACTCTTCCATTGCCTTTCTAACTTGCTTTTCCTTTCTTCCCATTCTCGTGCCCTTCCTCTGCTCCAGGCCTACCATTCCTTCCCCCACACTCTTTCATTCATTCATTCACTCAGTCTTTCTTCATCCTTTAATTTTTCATTCATATCCTTGTTTTCCCTCCCTTTTCTCTCTTTCACTCATTCTCACTTTTTTCTCTCATTTTCTTTATTTTTCATTTCTCAACCTCTTCTCTTCTCTTTCTTTCACTGATTTTTCTCTTTCTCTCTCACACCTCTTAACACCTTTGTCTCCCTAACCCTCCCTTTCCCATGTAAAATGATAGCCCTTTTCTACTCTCTCTCCCACTTCTTTTCTCTCTTCTTGCTTTATCCTACAGCCTGGGTCTGATATGGCTGCATATCAGCCTTTCTGGATATGTCATATGTGGGGAGTGGTCTTGAGGGGATGGAAACGCCAAGCATGTCTTCTCTCACTCATCCTGCTCCTACTTATGATGCTGAGGGCTGGGTTGGAGTTGCAGGGTGGACAAGGATCTACAGGCTGTTTGGGAGGTCCCAAGGAGTCTGGCTTCAAACTGTAATGAGGAATCTGTGGGAAGGAGAGATAAAAAGTGAGGTGTGTGCCTGGCAGGAAGAATGTGGGCTGTTTCCCCTTGACTGAGGATATACCTTTGTCTTTCACCCACATCCAGAAGAAGACGAGGATGAGGCTATTGATGGTGAAGAAGCAGCCACCCACAACCAATAACCGTAAAATGAGGAAGCAGCTGTTTCCTGCAATGAGGAAGGATGGGCTGGATGAAAGTGTAGGTGGTGAGCATGCATGCTCATGCTGGGAAGGATGTGAACAACTTTCTCTCTCTCTCTGCCACACTTCCCTCTCCATTTTTCCATCCCTTCTTCACCTACCCTTCTTAGTTCCTGAGGGCTGAACACCCAAGGATTCTCCCTATTTGCCCCTATGTGCAGAAGGCATTGAGTGTTTTTAGAGAGGTGACCTAGAAAGACAAAGGGAGGACGATGAAACATGAAGTTGCAAGGGGGGAAAGAGGAATGATTGGATTAGTTGGTAGATGGAGAGATAGTTGGGATGAAGGAGGGATTGGGGGAGGGAGAGAGATGGGCGGAAGACTAGGTGGGCTAGTTCATGGATGGAAGGATGGATGGTTGGACAGACAGACCAGCTGCTAGATGAAAGAATGGAGGAATCAGCTAGTTTGTAGATGGATGAACAGGTGATGGAATGGGCTAGTTTCAGCGTAAATGGAGGGAGGAAGGGATAACGGAATGGGCTAGTTAGTGGATGGATGAATAGACAGACAGATGGGACTGTGAATGGATGGAAGGCCAGCTCACCCCTCTTGTTGCTATTAATAGTGATATTTATGGCTTGGCTTGTGAGGGAGGGGATCCATCTCTCCTGCATCTTTTCCTCATACTTGCAGGTAAAGTTTCCACTGTGTTGGGGACCAGCGTGTAGAAAGTGGAGGACCATGGCATTCTTCAAAATGCCCTCTCTCTCAGATATGTTGTTCTCAGAGCCCACCTTCCTGGGGGCAACCTCTTCTCCATTCCGGTAGAAGTGAAACCTCCGCTCGGTGGCATTTCCAGGGGCCTTACAGATGATCCTTAGGAGATCTCCTTTCATCACCTCTCCCAGCGGGGACTCCACCATCAGCAGTGGCTGTGGAAGATGATCTGAACAAGGAAGAGGAGGAAAGAATGGGGATGTAGGAAAAAGGGGGAAAAAAGTGGATCTCCAAATGCTTGTTTTTACACTGTATGCAGCAAAGTTTGAGATTATAACCATCCCACCATGATGGAAAAAGCAGTCGTAGCCAGTTTGACTAGCTGGCAGGCAGCTTCTACCCTATACTCATCCCAGCCAGATAGAGTCTCCACCCAGACCTCTTACAAGCTGTAGGGCAACTGTATGGATTGGACTGATCTCTGGGGCCCACCAGGCTTATGGGACTGCTCACATCACTAGCAACTGAATAATCATATTGGGTGGGTATAGCTGCTACTCATGTTTAGGCATATGAATTTTCAGGAAGGGCAGAGCAGAGAGAAAGAGAGAGAGAGAGAGAGAGAGATCCCAATGCTTACCAGCAATACTGATCATCAGTTCCTCGCTGGGTGGGGATTTGAATGACCTCTGGGCTTTCTGGAGGGTGTAGGTGCATAAATGCGGCCCCTTGTGCTGCATTTGGGAGAGGGTGAACGTGTAGGTGTAGTTGTTCCTCCAGCTAAACTCTGATAGTGCCCAGCCGGCCTCACCAAAAAGTTGGTACAAACGCTTCCCAGTGATGTTGGCTGGAGTGGTGCACACCAGCGTGACAGACTCTCCAAGAAAATACTCCTCCTTTGCCTGCAGCACCGAGAGGGTTGGAGCAGGGGCTACAGCTGCGTTCACTGGTGGATAGAGATGGAGACAGGCAGGGCTTCAGTGGGGGGACAAAGATGAGGTGAGGCAGAAGAAGCAAGGAGTAACTCCACAAGAAAGAAAGAAATCGTCTTTTGTTTCGAGGAATAAGAAAACAAAACCATAGAGGGGATCTAATTAAGCAGAAATTTTTCTAGGCTTTGACTCATTTTGTCTCTACCTGAGTCAGCAAAAGCTGGTCACTCACTGCCTTGGGTTGTTATCTGACAGCATAGGAAAAGAAGCTGAGGATAAACAAGGGGCAGGCTGTTGCCTGGCTCTTCCCATGCCTCTTTCAGGGGTGTTAATGGCCCTTTGCAGGTACTCTAGCAATACAGAGGCAAGAAGGCTGGGCAGAGTAGACTGCGGAAATCAGTCCCCTCCAAGTATGCCACTTGTTGCTATTGATTCGTCAATAGGTATAGATTCTAGGGCCATTGAGCAAAATTTGCAGCTCACATCACTCCAGATCCAGCCATCCCCTGAATCTAAAGACCTGTGAAGATGCTGGAGAGAGTGTCTTCATCTCTTTCTGTCCCCTGGATGCACTAGGAGTGTCACACAGTGGGACCCAATGGGGCAAAGGAAACAGTGAAACCTTTCCCCACTCCAGATAGTTTCATAATACAAGCAGAAATGTCTTTTCAAGTGAGATTTTCTGCCGCCACAAATTGGCACTTTATGAAAATATCAAATGGGTGGTGGAAAAGGCAGAGTTTGGAGGGTTACAGCCATTGCTAGTGCTCTTCTGCAGTGGTCTTATGGAAACCACAGTGCTTGGTCTGTCATCCACAGCCATTAACCCTACAAAAATACTATCTTCCCACACCCAGACTGGGAGGAGCCAGTGGGAGAAGGGGAGGACTGAGGATCATTCTGATGCTCAAGGGGTTTCCAGAGGGATGAGGTATGAGCCACTCATCACAAAAGTGGGTTTACTCCAGGCAGGACTTCACTGAAGTGAGATTAAAGAAAAAAAAAAGCCCTAGCAACTCATTTCATTAGTGGGTTCTTTATGGGGTATTGGGAAGGGGAAAGAGGCTGAGGACTTCCCAGGTGGTCACAAAAGTGTGTCCCAAAGCCCTGGGTCTAGACTAGGGGACCTGGGGTCCTGTGCCCCAGGCAGCTCAGTCCCTCTGTAAGGACACCCGAGGACACCCTCTCCCAGCCCCCAGGAACCCCAGAGGTGTTACCTTCCTCATGGACCATCTGGCAGAGCTGGAGCTGCACAGTGGCTGGAAGAGAACAGAAGAGAGAAGGACTAAATGCAGCAGTATGGAAACAGATGAGTGTGGAGAAGGGGGGGAAGGGAGGTTGTTGGAGAGAGGCTAAAACAGAGGGGAAGAGAAGGGAAGGAAAGGCAAGGGTAAAAGAGGGAGGGAGAGAAGGTGGGGAGGGCAGGGCGGGGCAGGAGGAAGAAACAGAGAACAGAGAGAAACAAGAATAGAGAGAAATATGAAAGAGAGGAGGAAAGAGGACTGGAAGTCAGAAGAGGGAAAAAGAAGAGATCAAGGCAGAACAAGATGTAGAAAGGAGAAGAAGGCAGAAGGAGAAGGGATAGAGACAAAGAAAAAGGAGAGAACAGAGAAGAGAGAAGGGAAGAAAAGAGAGAAAACAGGAGAGACAGATTCATGAAAGAGGAAGGAGAAGAAAAGGTGCAAGGTGGGGGTGATCAATACTCACTGAGGAGCATCATGAAGTGGGAGATTAACATGCCACTGTGGCGCAGCAGGAGCTCAGTGCTCTGCACTGGACTGTCCAGGAGAGTAACTTGCTGCCTAGTCACTCCGTCCTTCCCTCTCTGTCCATCTGACTTGAGTTGGGTGGTCATGAGCGGAAGAGAGAGGAAGTGCTGCATGATTAAACACAAGTCACTAACCACAGCTGTAGATGGGAGGAAATTACATCATGGACACTGCATGTCTTCAGAGGCAAGTGGCACACCAATGTCTCCCCTTCTCTCCTTCCTTCCTTCCTTCCAAAGGTATGTCTGTATTGTATTGGCTTTGGCAGCCACATTCACTCGGAAAGCGCTTTGCTCAAATATTATATCAAGGTTGCTATCCACGTTTTTCACATTTTCGGCATACTTTCCTCTCCATGCACTCTGGATCTTTTAGGGGGTATCATCTTTGCCTCATGAACCACAGCCCATCTTACCCATCACTAAACCCAGAGGACAGAAGGGGTCTGCCTCTACTTTCCCCTGCCTTAGGCACCTTCCTCATGACTGGTGATAATTAGAACCAATAGTGATAAGGTCCTTCATTCTTGTTCTTGACTTTCTCAGCTGATCAGACCATGGGATTGTACCTTCCCCTTCCACTTTTCCCCACTTCCCAGTATGCCTGTGACCAACCAAAGTGTGCCATGACTAGATATGTTTAATGGCCCACTGCAAAATGGGCTAGGAATGGACATTTGCCAACAGGCAAATTGCTTCCTCAGTGCCCTTTTGTGTTACACAAGAGCCAAGATAGCTTCAGCTGTTGTACAAGGGCTACTCTTGAACTATTTAGGAGATGCAAAGCACTCACTTAAAATGCATCAACATCCAGTTAAAACAGTGAACTGGCAGAGACCAGAGGAGTGGGATTCATCTCCTCTGCCAGTGCTTGGACAACACTGTTTCGCTATCTGCTGCTTCCTCTGTCCCTTCAGGCTCATGGATCAAAGCAAATGTCCTCTGCATGGGATATTACCACAAGCCAGCATGGGGCAGACCAACCCTTTTGTGTGCTCTGGGACCAATTTCCCCATCTCTACCAGGCTCAGAAAGATGATGGAAGGGAATCAGAGAAAGAAACATTAGTGGGCTTGAAAACAGATTTACTGACCAACTGGACAGGGGCATTTACAAAGTGAACGCTGGTTTGAATGTTCAAAGCAAAGGATAATAGAAACAATCATTTTATTTTCTTCCTTCTTTCTTGCTCCTCTGAGGTGGAGAAGAGGCTGAAAGTGAGTGCATTTTTTGAGCAAAGACGTGGGCCAAGCACTCCTGAGATCATATACCAGTTTAACTGACCAGGGCCAGAGGATAAGCACTTGTGTCATCTTTGTTGTGGAGCCCCTTCCAGTGAACATGGCCTAGCAAAGAGAGGAATGAAAGCGTTTATGGTTAAAACACCTAATTTGCTAAAAACAGGCTGTCACCAGCTGAAAAGACTCATAGGAGGCCCCCAACATGTCCTATACTTTGTTAGTCAATGTGTTGTTAGTCCCCATCATACAACCCAAGGATCAGGGTTAGGACTGAGGTGATACTGCCAGTCTGGGCTGCCACCATCCCACTAGAGGATGCTGCACAGTCTGGGTTTGTAGGAGGATGCTCTGCATGCTCAACCTTCTGTGAACTAAATTGTGAACCATGCTTTGGAGGGACCCACAATCCAAAGGCATAGTAGGAGCAGAAGTGCTCACCCCTTGACTGCACATGTTCTTCTCATCAATGTCACAATGTCCTTTCCCCTCAAAAGTATCCTCTGATCTGAGCCAGCCTGGATCATCCTTCCTTCCTTTGCACTCATCACTTACCTCTCCTCCTCTGGCAGATAAAGGCAGCCAGCAGCAACACCACGACCAGAGCAGCTGCAGCAGCTGCACATCCAGTCACCAATGGGATGGGTAGAGATGAGGCTGTTTGCCAGAGGATGAGAAAAGATAAGCAACTACGAACCATCAGCAAGAGAGCATCAGTCCACACATCTACAGTCATACTTTCCATTTTTGCATACTGAGTCCCTCTGAGAGGAAATCCAGAGTTGCTGTACGTGATGTCTTACTCTGGTCCCTAAACACGATGAGAATGCAGGCAGCACCCAGTTTGGCTAAGTTGCTTCCCCATCTCACCCTCCCAAAAAAAAGGTCCATTATCTCTGCAATCTTGGGGCCCATGCATGGCATCAGAAGGGTACTCCATCCTCTCTCACAGCCATGCCACAACACTGCAGACCTAGTGGTTTATATTTTTCAGCTGTTGCTACTTTCCTCTTCATGAGGCAAGTAACACTCTCCAAGGCACATTTTGGGTCTTGGCCCTTGGCTCAAATAAGCCAGGGATCATTCTGCAGGGGAATTAGATAATACCACCTTGCTCTATGAGCATAAAATAATAGTATTCCCTGGCCTACTTTATCTTTCACTCTAGCCTTTATGTTTCATGACTGTGGTGGTCTAGAAGTGAACTAGAGCAAGTGTAAAGCAGTTTAGACATTGGAATAGGTGAATCTGTCTCTAATGTAACTTGAAGGTACCTATTGTCTTTCTGCGTGTTATCTGGCCTGAGAAAATCTTGGATTGGCTACAGGGACTCACCGTGCATGGTAACCATCATTGCCTGGCTCAGGGGTGATGGGATCCACTTCCCACTGACTCTCTCCTCATACCTGCAGGTGAATTGCCCTGTCACAGTTGGTTTGGCTGCTGGGATGCTGAAGAAAGAGCGTTTCCTTGTGCAAGCCTCTGAGAATTGTTCTGTCCCATCTTTATAGAAGTAAAACTTCCCCAGAGGATGAGAAAAGATAAGCAACTACGAACCATCAGCAAGAGAGCATCAGTCCACACATCTACAGTCATACTTTCCATTTTTGCATACTGAGTCCCTCTGAGAGGAAATCCAGAGTTGCTGTACGTGATGTCTTACTCTGGTCCCTAAAGACGATGAGAATGCAGGCAGCACCCAGTTTGGCTAAGTTGCTTCCCCATCTCACCCTCCCAAAAAAAAGGTCCATTATCTCTGCAGTCTTGGGGCCCATGCATGGCATCAGAAGGGTACTCCATCCTCTCTCACAGCCATGCCACAACACTGCAGACCTAGTGGTTTATATTTTTCAGCTGTTGCTACTTTCCTCTTCATGAGGCAAGTAACACTCTCCAAGGCACATTTTGGGTCTTGGCCCTTGGCTCAAATAAGCCAGGGATCATTCTGCAGGGGAATTAGATAATACCACCTTGCTCTATGAGCATAAAATAATAGTATTCCCTGGCCTACTTTATCTTTCACTCTAGCCTTTATGTTTCATGACTGTGGTGGTCTAGAAGTGAACTAGAGCAAGTGTAAAGCAGTTTAGACATTGGAATAGGTGAATCTGTCTCTAATGTAACTTGAAGGTACCTATTGTCTTTCTGCGTGTTATCTGGCCTGAGAAAATCTTGGATTGGCTACAGGGACTCACCGTGCATGGTAACCATCATTGCCTGGCTCAGGGGTGATGGGATCCACTTCCCACTGACTCTCTCCTCATACCTGCAGGTGAATTGCCCTGTCACAGTTGGTTTGGCTGCTGGGATGCTGAAGAAAGAGCGGGTCCTTGTGCAAGCCTCTGAGAATTGTTCTGTCCCATCTTTATAGAAGTAAAACTTCCATTCACCACTAGTGCCGTAGGCTACACAAGTGATAAGTAAAGGGTCCCCTTCCCTTACTTCTCCAGATGCGGGGTTCAAGATCAGATCTGGCTGAGCAGGGGGATCTGACAGAAGAAACACAGAAAATGAGTTAGCAAAAGAAATAGTGGTCTGAGACTCATTCAGGACTTCTGAGTTAAAAGGAAAACTACCCATTGTTCCTTTCCTCAAAGGATGGAGAAAGGTACTTTCACAGGCAGGTGAGAGATATCACTATAACACTATGCTCAGTGTGTTGCAAACTGAGTGCATTTAACTCTCTGCTGGAAGGCTGCAAAGGATGGAGGCAAAACTGAGGCCTGCCTCTATAAGGCAGAATGGGCCCTGGGTATCTGAGGAGTTTGAAAACAGAGCAAAGGCCTAGGAAACTATGCTATGGGCTTTCGAAGGCTAATGCTGGCCACTTAGGAAGGCTCCGAGGATAAGCTGGGTGATTGAAATTATCCTCAGCTGAAGAGATAGAAACAAGTATAAAAAATGGTGATGGTTTTGACCACTTATTTTGCACAATGGGAAGCTCATTATGGTAATCTACTTCCAAAATCAGTCCTGAATTTGAGGTGTATATAATTATATGCACATAGGCTCCTAGAGGTTTGGATGTCTTCAGAACTCACAACAGACCCTGAGACAAACTTACCCTTCACAGTGACCTCCAGAACCTTGCTCTGGGGTGATGGCACCCATGTCCCGTCCACATCCTCCTCAAATCCACAAGTGAATTTCCCACTGAACCTCCTTGGAGTCTGCGGGAACAGCAGCTCAGTGAAATTCCCAGGGTTCATGGCAGTAGTCTCTGAGCCTGCCTGTCCTGGTGGGATCTCGACCCCATCCCTGTAGAAGTGAAATCTCAGCCTCGAGTCATCCCTGAAGGCAATGCAGGTGAGACGTAAGGGGTAGCCTTCAGTCACCACAGCAGAGGAAGGATCCACTCCCAGTTCAGGAGCAAAAGGAGGCTCTGGGGAGAAAAGTTGGAGGGAAAAAAAAAAAAAACTTTAAAATGGCAACTGTATAGCTCTGAGCAAGGGGGAAATAACTAGTTGTTGCACAGCTGGAAAACACATATTAGGGGCAGGGGGAGGGAAAGATGGACAAAATGTTGGCTTTCAGTCAACCTTCTTGGCCATGACGGACAAGCTAGGGCATTTTGAGACCCAGATGGCATGTTAGGGAATAGCTTTGTTCTCTCCCTCATTGCTTTATTGTGCAGATTGTCCTCATCCCTTTTACTAAGGAATTACCTTTCACAAAGACAGTCACAATACTGCTCACAAAGGACAAGATCCAACGCCCCTCTACTTCCTCCTCATAGGCACAAGTAAAATTCCCCGTGTGATTCTGACTGCTCTGTGGGATGCAGAGTTGAGCACTCGTCTCTGATGAGTTGACCTCAGCTCCAGGGATGACCTCAGCTCCTTCTTTGTAGAAGTGAAACCTACGCTCCACTGTGTTTCCAGGAGCCATGCAGATGAAGAGAAGAGGGTAGCCCTCACTCACAACTCCACTGGAAGTGTTCAGAGACAGCATGGGAGGCAGTGGGGGGTCTAAAGGGAAAAAGCAAATAAACACTCTTAGGGTTCAGCTCTTCCTCCCTGCTTTAATCACCTATTTTTCTATTACATAAATCATGATATTGAAATGTAGTTCAAAAGAGATTCGAGCATGATGAGTTCAGAACAAGTAGCTGCAAAAGAGATGAGTGCCTCTCTCCATATGCTTTATTAAAGGAGTCATTGCAGGCCTGAGACTTGTAGGAAAGTATCTATGATGGAGGGAGGTATGATGAGGAAACAGAGCTGTCACAGAAGATAGAGAGAGAAATCTAGAGTGATACATGGCTTACCTTTAACATTGATGATGATCGCTTTGCTTTCCTTAGACCGGACTGGTCTGAGGAGCCGGTCTGTTACGGTATATCTGCATGTGTGTGACCCACCATCCTTTGGCCCTGTGATATTGAAGCTGTAGGTGTAGGCTTTCCTGAAGGTCCGAATATCCACAGCCCATCCAGCTGTCCCTGAGAACTGAAAGCCCTGTACCTTGGCCTTTGAAGAGGGAGCCTCACATCGGAAGGAGACAGCATCTCCAATGAGATATTCCATTTTCTCTGGGCTCACAAAGATGTTGGGGGGTGCAGGAAGGTCTGGGAAGGAAGTTAGTTAAACATTCAACTTATAGAAAGATAAATTAATCCATCATGGACCAGAGCAGACAGATGCCTCTAGCCTTGTGACCAATTGGTGCAGACATGCTGGCTCAGGTATTTGAGGAAAGGGTGAGCTCAGCTTGCAGCAGACATCCTAAAATAAGACTCTCTCTCCTGAATGATTCATGAATTCACTGGAAGAAATCAGGGTGTATTGCTGTTACTGTCAGCACAAACTCCAGCCCTGTTACCCATCCCTCATCCCCCCAGAATGGGGGCAGAAGGCACAGTGATGGTGAAAATCGGAAGTTGTCTTGGAGTCAAATTTCCATTTTTCTCAGAAAGTGTGCAAGAGATGAAAAAACAGCTCCTAACCAAGTCCCACAAGTCCGTGCCAAGCCTGCCCCAAGCAGCATGCAAAGCAATTGCTCAACTCTTTTTTTTTTGGCCCACATTTAAAGCTGGAAACCAAATGAGATCAGTTTGATTCCTGGAAGATAGCTGCCTGTGACTAATAACAATAGTCCTTTAGCTGAGACCAGACCTTTAGGACGTAACCAAAATAGTATTACTGCTAACGTATGGTATAGGAAATAGTCCTTCTGGACTCATCCTCAGCCCCAGTGTTCTGTTTTGTCAGCACTGCAGGGGATGGGTCAGGCTACGTCCACTCTAAAACCTAATCTGGTAATCCAGTATGCTGCCAGCACCTTGATTCACACACTAGCTGGAGAAACACAGATGTGACACTTGATGGAGAAGAGAAAATGCAGGTGGAAGGCAGGGTGGACTCAAAATCACAGTGGAGAAGGGCTGGACCAGATGACACTGAGGGGCTTCAGCCAGATCCTGTTAGATTTCAGCTCGCATCCACCCAAAATAAAGCACAGAGCAGCTTGATTGTGAAAGAGGAACAAAGTTGTGGATGTGGCAGGGGGAGGAGGGGGAGCCACTGAACAGTCAACAAAAAGCTGTTCCCTCCCCTAACTGCGGAATCAGCAATTTCCTTGTAAACAGTTGGGCATCTTCATGCTTCACATGGAGAGTTTGCTGCCACTCGGGTTGAGTTAGAATGTTTTTCCCATGTTTCTCTCTAAGACCCCATACTGTACAGGTCTGAACTCTCTCCTAGATTTCCTCCCAAAGTACAACCAAGCAGGGGATGTGGAATGTTTTCTTTGGATATCTGTTCCGGTTGAACAAGCCTGTTTGCTCTGACTGATTGGTCTGAGAAGCAAAGCTCAGTCCCATGATCACTGAGGCAACAACTGGACTGAGAAGATAAAATCTCATTCTTCTGAAGGTCCATATCTACCCACCCTGTTTTGGTGCATGAAATGCATTTACCATTTGCATAGCTCAGATTCTCACTGGGGTTCAGACTATTCATTTTGCCAGTGGTCTATTAACTGGGATCCTGCCTGTGGTCTTACTGATACATGCCACCCACAAGTGGTGGTTCTTAAGAGAATCTGGGTGGAATGTGACCAGATGGAGTGCCTGAGATGCTTGAATCCTTGGGAAGATATGTCAGATGGGTGCCCACATGTTCAGTTGTCCCAAGAGGATAAGGAAATGAGTCACCCCACAGCCTCAACCCAAACCCAGAATTGTTACCTGCAGGTGACCCGCACAGGAAAAATATCTGTAGAGTGGCTGAAAAAAAGAAATGAAATGATTGAGAGGTCTGTGGAAGGCATGAGGGATACCACAGAAACTGGACAGGCAGTGGGAAATGGGTGCCAGTGAAGGGGGCCGTAAAGGGATGTTGGGTTTATACAAGTGAAACAGCAGAGCACATGCTTTGCAATTGTATCAATAGGGATCAAAAAGAAAGTGAGAGAATAGGAGAAAAAAGGAAAAAAGCATACTGATTTATCTACATAGAGGCAAGACAAGGCAGAGAGAGAGAGAGAAAGAGAAAGAAAGAAAAGAAAGAAAAAGAAAGAAAGAAAGAGAAAGAGAAAGAGAAAGAAAGAAAGAGGAAGGAAGGAAGGAAGAAAACTGATGTTTAGACAAAGCAGAAAGAAGAGAGAAGGGAAGAAATTGAGCACAAAAGGTGAAGAGAGAAGGAATGAAAATTTGCCATCCCTGAGAGATGAAAAAAGGAGATAGTAAGAGAAGGAAGAAGAAAAAGGAGAGACAAAAAGAAAAGGAAAAAGGAAGAGGTGACTGGTATATAGAGAAGAGACAAGTTATAGATGGAGAGAGTGTTATACAAATAAGGAGAAAAGGAAGGGAGAAGAGAAAAAGGATGGAATTTGTCTGCTTGGAAAAGGAAAGGAAGCTAATGGAGAAACAAAGGAATAGTGAGAGGAAAAGAGGAGTGTTACTAAAATGAAAGAAGGACACACTGAGTAAGGAAGGACAAGGGCCAAGACAGTCACTCACCAAGCAGTGGCAGAAAATAAGGGGACTCCATGCTGAACCAATTCTCCTTGGTATATGAGCTGGCCACCACCTCTTTCCGTTACTGTCCACGAAGGGAACAGAGTCTTCCTCTTGTTCAACCCCAGTTGCATGTGTTCCCTCCCCTCCATCACATGAGCAAGGACAATTCACCCAGACAACTCACTGCCAGGAAAGAGGTGGGGGGGGGGAGGGAGAAAGAGAGAGCAAGAAAGAAAGAAAGAAAGAGAAAGAAAGAGAGAGAGAGAGAGAGAGAAACAACATCTTCCTGACACTTTGTGGTCAGCTGCATCAGCCGAACAGTTTCACTTACATTTCCTTTGGTCAATGAACTGGGATATCTGACTACTTTAATTTTCCTCTGCCAGTTAAGACAAGAGAACATTTTGCTTTAGTTCTTTTTCAGTTATTAAATTGGGAATGGAGCCATGGGAAATAGTTTGTGGGAGGAAAACCATGGACAACCTTACATCTTTTGGGGAGAGGATGCATTGAACCCACCTAGGTTGCTCAGGTCTCAGCTGGAGATACTGACTTACTTCTCTGGTCAGTGGAAAGACACAGGGGATAGAGCCCTTCTCATGCCCTTTGTGTTTATCCATCTCTACTAACCACAGTCCATGGCGACTCCATTTTTCTCCTGAAGGTAGGTTAGCCTCGACAAGCTAAAACCAACTCCACATGAGCCCTTTGCAGCCAGTGTCGTGAAACTGATGCCTCTGATGGACAATTTGTCCCATCTACCTTCACAGCTTGTCTTACGAGGGAATATTCCCACTCAAGGAATAAACTCAAGAGTAAATGTGGGCAGGGGCCACATTCTGGAAACATATAGGGTAAGATTCTGTTGCTTCAACATAGATGTCCAGAGCTACTTGAGTTCTTCAGAGTATCCAGGATATCTGCAAAGAATTCGTGGGTGTGAGGAAGGGCTCAAAGGGAGACCAGGTCTTTCCTGAGCAGGTAGAATATGCTAGGGCATTTCAAATGGGGTTAGAAACCTATGCTCAACAACTCAATTAGTGCTACACTTGGTAAGAGAAACCCCACCCTAGTGCACATTTCATAGTGATTTGCAAGTACAGTGGAAAATTAAGAGATAAAACAGGTAATACTTCCTTCCCACCCTCCAGAATGGATCCTACCCTACTTTTCACTCAAAGTAGAGAATGCCTCAGTAGTGAGTCAGGTGCTTTTTGGGTTGTCTTCTTTACTGACTAAGGGCACATTAACTTCTTTTCCTAGAAGGCTTGTAAACAAGGAGTTGTCTGCAACGCTGCTTCACTTCCAGAGTCCCAGCACCCAGAGGCTCATTTAAAGCTCCAAGTTTACCAGTGATTGCTATCACCCCTAGTAACTTCAGGCAAACACAATCATAGAGGTCTCCGGCCTGGATGCAATTCATCTTGGCCTAAAGCAGATGTCCTTCCTTGGTCAGATGGATTGCACACTGAAAGAATCACATGCTGTTCAATAAGGAATAGCTCATAGGAAAATACCTAAAATCAGATAAGGTGAATCTTACACTAGCAGAGGGCGAACTTGACCTATATTCCTCTGCTCTGGTGTCCCAACCCCAATCTGCATCAATTAGGAGCCCGTCCCTAACTTCACTTGCTCTGCCAAAAATTTTTTGAAGCTTCTCTCCTTCTATATTCAGTGAAGACAGAGCAAAGCATCTCATGCTCTTTCTGCTAGTTCCCATCTCTGCCCATCTACTACATAAGGTGCTTTGAGTGTTTACATGTCAAACAAATGCAACTGAGTTCAATGTGTCAGTAGGTATTAGGAATAACCTCTTCCCCTTAGTATCATCTGCTGTTTGCTGGGTTTCCTGACACTGTTGGAGGAAATATGTAAAGTTTTACTTCCCAAATCCTATTCCTGAGGAACTTCATTAGTACACTGAAACTTCCCCTTTCCAGGCAACACTTTACACTATTCTTCCTGGCTTTATTGTTCTCCCTTAGATAGTGATTCAGCTCATCTAATGCTAGTCTTCCAGAAATTAGTTGCCTATGTTTTAGGTAATCATCTAAATCCACTCTATGAGCAGAAATCAAAATATCTGAAGGACAATTTATCCACGGCTAAAATCAGAGTCTGAGATAGGTGTGATGAGTCACCCTTGGAAAATGTTGATTTCTATCCATATTCAACAGTGAGAACCTACATGCAAAGCATTGGTTGCCTTTTTGAATTGACTGTAAACAAGAGAGCGAGAGCGAGAGGGAGTTCACAGCCTTCTTTAGCTTTCCCAAGTTCACACATTGCACCAGGTCAATGCTTTATTCAAGTGCACACAGGCAAGATCAGTATTTCTCTGTTCTCCAGAGATCCTCATTCCCTTGGTTCATCCATCACTAGATAAGTCGAAGTGGCATTTTCCCTCCATTTTCACTTCTATTTTGGCCTTTTGTTGCTCCTTCTTTCCAGTAATGGCCCAAAGCCTTGCAAGATATTCCAACACATTGCTGTTCATTCCCGATTTCCCCTCCAGAGCTAGAGGACACCAGTGTCCCTGAAGCAACTGCTGTCCCCAAGCCCCCTGAGATGTACAACTCAAGACTCGTTAACCATAAAAACCCCAAGATTTATGTCTGTGGCAGGACCCAAACCCACAGTAAACACTTCTGCAGCAAAACCTGATGTAGAAAACCTCCTTCCATCACCCTGGAAAAAAAAATCTGAGGCGAGAAAATCTTGAATAACGATATAATGAAGCTTATTTGGCTTCTAGCACAACCAAGAGACCCAATCCTGCAGGAACTCACCTCTCCCAGTATTGCTATCTCAAGTACTGAATCACTCAGGGCATATCTAGAAAGTAGCTCTTAGCTGCTCTTGAGACCAAACTGCAGGTCTCTAAGACCTAGCATAGGCATTCTCACTGCAGAAATACAGCCTATCCCTGTCAGAGCAATCCAGCAGAAAAATCCAGCAGAAAATTCCACTTGAGAAGCAGGAGCAGGGGATAAGGAAGATGAGGCCATTGATGAAGACAAAGGATCCCCACCACCACCAGTACCTGAGCCCAGCCAAGGAGGGAGGCTGCTGAGAAAGAGGCTAGCTTTGTGAAGCTATGTTGTCCTGTGTTGGTGGGTATTCATGTGCCCTTGCTCCCCGCTCCTGGATGCCTGGTTGGTGAGCAAGGGCATGCAGCTGTGTCTTCCACATTTGCTGAGACGAATGTATCCTGGTCTTTGTGGATCCTTCCTTTGTTCTTGGAGGAAGGGGACTAAATGAGGAGGGAATCTCATGTACAGGAATATGAACATCCCAGAAAACCTCACATCTCTTGGTGACAATGACACTTGTGACCTGACTCTGAGGAGATATGATCCATCTGCCCTTACTTATTATAGTGGGTAAACAGTGGAAGACCAGGGAGGAGATAGGAGCACGCTGACCGATCAGTTATTTCAACTGCCAAAACACTTGGTGTGAAGAATCCTTGGGAAAGAGCAGGTCATGGCCTTTAGACTTGCACCCCATCGGCATCAATCTGGACTTGTCTACTTAAAGAATTACTGCTTCCCTTGTTATCTGTATACCTAAAGAATTATGGCTTCCCTTGTTATCTGTAGCACATGCATAGTACCCCATATTGTAGCTTATTAACTCTCCTTAAACCCACGCCCTCCCCCGAACCTCACTGTGGGTCGATGCTCTGCAGTGCCTGGGACAGCCCAGTCACTTCCCTGCAAGGTTCCTGGAGTTCCCCTTGCAATTTAGGGATTCCGAGGTAATAAACATCTAATAATCTTACTCCACAGTGGTGTCTTCTACCTCTGCATACTCCAAGTGTCAGTTACTGCTGTTAACACTTCACAGAATCACAGAACGGCCAAGGTTGGAAGGGACCTCTGCAGATCATCTGGTTCAAACTTCCTCCTTCTACTAACAAGCAAATTTCACGGCGCTGCCAGGACTGGCTCATGAGATGCTGAGCAGGAGGGTGTTTGTAGCCAGAATTCTACTGTATAGCAACCTGATCTCCAGCCTCATATCCCCAAGGATAATCTGGACTCCATCTTTGCAGCAGTGAAACCACTTCTTGCTGGTATCTCTGAGGGCTGTGCAGACCATAACGATTTCCTCCATTAAAACTCCAGAGAGGGGCTCCACCTTCACTACCACCTTGGGAAGAAGATCACAAAGGAGAAGGGACAGAAGGGGTCAGAAGGGACCTTGAAGGTTCTTTATCATATAAGCTAACAACATCAACTAGGCAGAATTAATTTGAATAAACATATCTGATATCTACCTTTGCTCACATGAGTTATAGCCACTCTTTAGGCTCCAGTCATGAGGGGTGGGATTCAGCTGTCTAAAAGATAGGTGGCCAGAAAAGAATAACTATCAGTTGAGGAAAGATGAGTAGTCTCTGTCTTGGAAGAGAGAAAACTTGAAAGACATCTAGACCAGGAATACCATCAAAACAGCACCTAGGATATTGTTTTCTTATGCCGTGTAGCATTCAGTCATACACTTTTTGCACTAGGATGCCTAGAAGTCTAAAATTAGGAAGGGTTTTGAAAGAGGAAAAGATAAATTTGAGATACAGTGGACTTTCAGTGCAGTACAGCATGTTCTTGTACCCAAGATGTTAACATCTTATTCTCTCTCACACATGCAAACACCTAGGAGGAGATGATAACTTACCAAGCACCGAGATATGCACAGCATTGCTCTTTTGTGACAGTTCTGTTTTTCTGGGCTGTGTTTGGAGGACATCACGGGTGTAAATCCCAGCTCTCTTCTTCTCCACCTGCATAAATGGCAGCTGGCCTGAGCTATTGCTGAAAGATGAGCACAGACTTTGGCCATCCCTAGAAAAAAATGGAAAGTGGCTTTCCCTGGAGCTGAGCATCTAAGGATAATGGAGTCTTCTGTGATACAGATTGGGTTTGCAAGATCTGCAGCCAAGCAGGGCTTTTGAGAAGAACATAGGGAAAAGCACAGCAGTCCAGGATTAAACCCCTGTGAGGCTGTAAGCGTGACTTCAAGAACAGGGCAGTACCAAAATGCAGTACTCCTTTCTCAGTAACTTCAGAATGTCCTTTCAGTAGGCTCAGTCTAGTCTAGTACTGCAACTTGACAGCAGTTAGTGGAAGAAGTTGATGGGGCAACTTCTGCTAGCCATTGTTTCCCCAAAACCTGGTGCTGAGTAGGAGAAAGTTTGGGGGACCATAGGTACCTTTTCCTGCAGACCACATGGTTTAGGATTGAAATGGACCAGCTCTTCTCTATCCAAATCCTTTTGCCAACCAGACAGTGGATTATGATCTACTGTTCTTCAAGCAGCCTGGGATCTCACCTGCTGCACTTACAAAGACGGGCTCACTCTCTTCAGAAGGGATTGCCTGGCCAGACTTGTCTCAAATATTCACACACAAATGTCCCCGTTCTTCCCCGTCTCAGACAAAAGAAAAACTTGATCACCTCCTTTGGGATTTGGGAAGATCTCAAGGAGGTGCCATTGGCTTTACTAGAAGAAGCAATATCCTGCTGCATCCTGGCCTCTGGAAAGGGAACACAGGAGGGTGATCAGTTCTCTGGGGAAACTGAAAGGATACTAGAGTTCTAGAAAGACTGTAGAGGGTAGAGGAGTATCTGAAATGAGAGCAGAGATGCAATTAGAAGGGGAGGTGATAGATGCCACACAGCCAAGTGTGTGACTAAGGATGATGCAGCCCATAGAAGAGGGGTTTGCTCTGGGCTGCTCCCCAAGAGTTAAGGGACCCTGGGTGCACCACAGCCAGAGTCACCACACCGTGGGGTTGCTGTAGCCCTCTAGTGACCCCATGAGTGCAGAGCAAATCTAGTCAGCAAAGGGGAAGTGACATCACAGACTCATACCGTAAGCATCTAGGTACTGCGAAATTTCGTACTGGTTTATCTGTTGAACATCCATACTGATATCTGTACTCTTATCTGTTGACCATCCTGTTGTTATCCATACTGTTATCAACTGAGGCCCTTTGTTCTATTGTCTAACTGTGGTCTGGCACTGATTGACTGAATAATGAACTAAGCCATGAAGGACAAAAGAAAGTAAGCCACATACTTCCAGTGTGGACTCAAACTCACCATCAGCTGGCCTGAGGATCAGACATCCCACCAGCCCCTGATGCCAACTGCCAGGGAGAACTTGAATCATCTTGGCGCAGCTTGAGCGTGGGGAGAACAGTCCAGGTAAAACTACATTGGAGGGGTGGCCCATAAGGACAAGGAAAGGGTGAGAACAGTCATTGTACCATGCATCCATGGCTTAACCGTAGAGCTCTGATATGTATATTCTACTTTTAATTCTTTACTATACTTAATAGCTGTGTTATACTTGTAGATTGTCTGCTGTTAATTGTTTAGTGTTGTCCAGTGTCTGTCATATGTGTAAAACCACTTAGCTCTAATAAATTCTTATACTGGACAAATGATGATCTCTTGAGTTCAGTGAGACTAACCCCAGAAACCGAAAGAATCCTGGATGCCCCTCTAGTGGTGGGTCACAGGGAGTATTCACCTCCATCTCCAGGCAGTTTACAATAGGTTTTGATTTAGCAGGAGCAAATGAACTCCCTGCATCCTAAGGTTTTGAATTTAAGGGGATGTTCATTGACCCATCCATGGCTAAATCTTCCCAGTTCCCAGCAGGTAGCAAAGAAGGGAAGAAAGGGACCTTTTTGTGGACTTTGCTGGCTTCCCCTATGGAGACAGTTTTCAGCAGCAAAAGTTGTAGGAGATAAATCTCATCCAAATCTGATTACACAGAGCAATTCACAGACAATCTCTTAAGCACTAACCCGTCACTGATATCTCTACAAAGCTGCTGGCACTGGAGAGTACCTCTTCCCCTGATTCATCCCTCAAGTATCAGCAAGTGTATGGCTCAGCCTTGTCTTCTGAGCTGTGACTTCCAGCCTGTCCAAGAAAACCCTCATGAAGACCTGTTCTCTCTGAGGGTGATGAATGTATACCCACAGGCATTCTAACCTGGCAGTGGGCAACAGATGAGGATGATATTTCCCCATGTGATATACAGTATGTAGACATTATGACGGCTCCAAGGAGAGCACTGAAGTGGGTACAGCACCTGACAGAAAAAGTATGGATTTATTAGCCATTTATAAAAGTTCTATAAAATGTTAGACATGAAGGGAGATTTGCCCTAAACTGGACACTGGTTACTGCTATCTATCTCATTGGTGTCAAAGGTTTGTCTATTGGAGTAGATTAGAGAGTGCAGGATTTCTGAGTCTCATCTTACCTTCTTGTCTACCCCATCAGACCCCATGCTCCCTTCTGAATCCTGAAATGGCAACCCTTGAGATCTAGGTGCAGACCATTTTCTCCAACCCAAATCCCATCAAAGGGAGGGGAGAGGAGAGGAAGGAAAGGGAGGGAGGGGAGGAGAGTGGAGTGGAGAGGAGGGGTCTCTTGGGCAAGTCTGATTTACACCAGTTGAGGAACAGATCCATCCAGATCCTGATCTCAGTGGAGCCATGATTGGTTGTTGTATTAGCTGGGAAATACAGAGTCTGGTCAAATTAGATCACACCTGATATACAGTTCCTGAGGACTTTTCTCCTGCCTGGTAAATGTGACTTACTGTGGTGTTCTGACACAGAAGAGTCATGTGTCCAACAGCAGCAAGAGCAGAGAGTTGTTTCTTCTGCTGTGGGTTCTGTGGGACTCGGTTAGGGGTTTTCTGCTCCACTACCGCTCCTCTCTATCTTCCAGGGACCATGCTACTGCAGGGAGAGTTGTGGAAGGGGCTAATGTGTGCACAAAGCTTCCTGCAAACATAAGCATTGGGCTGACACCCAGCATGTGGTGTAACCCAGCATTCAGAAGGGAAGTTGGCATTTCTGAGCTTTCTTCTTAATGCTGAGGGCAGGCAGCAGAGCTCTTTCCCATTTACCCGGCATCATTTGCATCCTCTGGTGCTGAAGCAGGAAAGTTCGATCTCTACAATGTTCCCATGCTGGGGGTCACTTCTTCCATCTACTTTTCCTTTGGGAATGAATTCTGGCCTAAGGGATCAGATCCCAGGGACGTTCACTGTGATCCAGCCCCCACCTCCCTTTTTTTCCCCCTCTCCAAGATATCAGCTGTCTGCAGAGGCTAATCCAGTATATGTTGGCAGTGCAGGTTTTTGTTAGCCCTAGACATCCAGCATAGGCAATCCAGAGGGACAAGAACAGATCTGCATGTGTGCCCTCCACCCTTCTGTCAGGTCCCACAGTTCAGAGACAAATGCCCAAGCTGCAGTGGTCTACCACAAAGGAGTCTGAATTTCAGATGAAAGTAAGAACCAGATTTAATGATAACATTGTGGAGTTACATGTGCGGTGGAGCAGACACACACACATGCACGAACACACATGCATGCACATACACACACACCCTGCCCCCTCCCCCACACAAACACACGCTCCAGGGTGGGGGATAGGAAGATACATCTTTTGATAAAACCCACTGCACAAAGACACAACACCCACCTTTAATTAGAGAGATGTGAGACATGTTTGAAGGCACAGAGGAGAGAAGCAGGACAAGTAATTTAAGTTCAGCATTCATCACTTTTGTCTCTTGGGGACACTGAAGCAGGCAATAGGGAATTAAGCAGGGTCCTAGGGAATGGATTGCCTTTGCTAAATAGGGTAAAAATCTTTGGGGATGCTTCTTCTGCTCCATATTGTTATTGCATCGTGAACCCCTCCTCCAGATCTGCAAAGAAGGGAAGCAAGAGCATCTGAAATTGCTTTCTTTAGTCTCAGACCTCTACGGGAGATAAATTTGAGGGCCAAATGAAGAAGAAGGGTAAAGAGAGCTCCTGTTCCAATTTTCTAGCCAAAACATCCCCCAAAGTTTTAAACAGGTGGATTTTTTTCCTTTTAAAGGAATAGGAAATAACATAGTGGATCCTTTTTGGCAAAGAGAATAAAGTCCCAGGATTATAAGAATCAGTGTGGCCTAATCAAAATAAAATATTTACCTTTTCTCTTCATCAGGCAGTGGGAGAAGAAAAAGATGAGACCGTTGATGGTAAAGAATGAGCCGCCCACAACAATCTCTCGCATCCAGCTGATTTTCTGGCCTGCATGGGTAAGGAGAAATCAATGGTGATTTTTTCATTATGCAATATTTCCCCCCTAGTGGAGAAAATTCATCCTACCATAAGCAAACACATCTATAGCTTCTATTCCACCCATGTATCAGAGAGAATGAGGTTATCTTCCCTCCAGATCTTCCACTGCAAATTTGCAGATCAGAGGGAATGGGTGTGAGAGTCAGTATATCTCCAGTTTCTGCAAACATATCAGTCAGCAGTTGAATGCTCCTACAAATAAGAAGCTAAGCTGTGTTGGCCACCCTACCATGAACTTATAATCTGCTATACTGGTCCTTGGAAGATTGGTTAGTGGCTAATCCTCTTTGAAAGCTATGGTGCATATCCCCATCGGGTATGCATCACCCTAGACAGCTGTGAACTTATCAAAAAAGCCTTATCAAGTGATGAGAAACTCCTTTAATTTAGATTTTTCCAGTATATTTCATTCTTTTGGTAAATAAGCACATGGATGGGTATGGCAATGAGTTCATTTAGTGAAGGATAGAGAGACTGAGACAGGCAGAGATAGATGTTCATATAACAGGAGGGGATGGAGATGAGATCCATGAATGAATTCATAGACAAGTGCATGCAGATAAATTAATTGACGATAGATCAGTAGTTATTGGATCCCCTAGTGTGCAAGGTTTTAAAAACTCACTTTTCACATACACATGGACCCAGCGGCTCCTCTCTGAGCGAACAGTACGTCTAGACCAAAATACAAAATAAGCACAACTGTAAGACCCAGAGACCTCCTCTCCTGTGATCCTGAGGTTGTAACTATAGTTCTTAATATTTGATACTGGGATAGAGATTGCAAGTCCAAAATCCCCATAGTACTGGATTTCTCTAGCATAGGCTGGAGATGAGGGGACAGAGCAGAGTAGCTTGACATAGTCCCCAGATATGTAGACATGTTGCTGAGGATCCAGGGACAAAACTGGGGCCTTAGGAGCACCTACAAAAAATAAAAAAAAAAAAAAAGAAAAAGAAAAAGAAAAAAGAAAACAAAATAAATGAATAAAAAAACCGTGCTAGCTATTGACACTAGACCCTGGGCAGATGGAGCCCCCATAAAACCTATGAATGATGAAGGGAGCAGAAAGGATATTAATTAATCCTTTGAACATTACTGGGATGAATATACATCCTTTAACTACAAAATATCTTTGGGGGGGGGGGAGGTAAAGGGATCACTCTTGGCTCTTTTTTTCTATATCACTCTTGAACCATGAGTAGTGGAAAACAGTCCCACAGTTTTCAGAGACAATAACTCAGACCAATTTACGAGGCTTCACTGAGGTACAGAAAAATATGTATTTTTGATATAGCCTGTATGGGAAGGCATGTGATACACCCACAAACCCAATGAAAGCATTGTGGTTGATAGGTGCTAAAAGAATTCTTGGATGCGGCACAACTTATGAAGCCACTGTAATGCAGTCTTATTCCTGCTTTCTGGAAAAGAAATCCAGTAGCATGTAAAGAGGTTTTGAGAAGGCACAAACTCAGCCAGAGCAACTTCATTTTGGACTGGCAGCCAAATGATGGGGCCACTCTTCAAGGTCATGGTCTAATGGGAGATGTACAGTGAATGGGGTGATGGTACCCAAGTCATATTCACAAGAGAAACATACCTTGCACCTTAACTGAAAGAGGAAGGCTCCTATTGGAAGAGATTGCTTGTCCAGAATCCTCCACCCAGTACATGCAAGTGTACTCTCCACTGGACATTTTTGCAGCTGTGAGCTGGAGCCAGGCAGCTGTGTGGTGATAGGGTGCTATCTGGTAGATTTGGTCCCCACTTTGGTTGAAGAACCAAAATCCGCCTATTGTCCTCTTTGTTGGAGCCAAACATATCAAAGCTACACGCTCCCCTTCATAGTATACATGATAACTGGGGTCTGTGGAGAGGGTAGGGACTGGCAAAGGGTCTAGAAAAGAAAGCAAAGATTTAGAGAATGGGAGGGAACCCTCAGAGAGGAGAAAGAAGATTAGACACCTCCCTTTCTCTCCATTTTACAAGATGCAATTCAATCCCATCCTGTTGCTGAAGGCTCACCTTTCAGTTGGACGTCTTATGACAGGTAAAATTGTACTTACCTGCAGATACTGCAGCAAACAGGAACACCTGGAGGAAGACTGCAAGAGAGGGACATTGAGAGCTTTGAGAAGATAAAACAGAGTCTGCTAAAAGGAGATGAAGAAAGTCACTTACTCATCAGATGCAGAAGGAAAGAGAGCACCATATCGAGCCAAACTCTTCCAGAGAACAAAGATAGGCACGTGACCAGGCTGTATTTCAGGACCCAGGAAGTCCTGCCCCCTTTGGCATTCAGTCAAGCAGGCAACACCTCCCCAGTGCCACATGATCATACTGTTCATAGTTTATTTCTACTCAGCCATGAGATGGAAAACCAAGATATATCATAGAGCAAAACCATGAAACAGAGTCATTGGACAGTCCCTCTATAGATATTGGAGAGGACATGACAACTTCAGGGCATGATACTGCCCTTCCATACTATATGTCTAGGGAATATGTCTCTCTGGATGGATGTTTACCTCATCCAGAGGTAGGTGCTGTACTTGTCCATTTATTCTCCTAGAGGCCCCATCTGGCTTATTGAAGGTTTCCTTTCTGTCAATAGGGCTACTATCAGTGATTTAATATCTTAATGACCAACCATCTATCCATGTACACTCTCATCCACCTATGTCTTTGTATGCATCTCCATGCATTACTGTTGAGCTACACTTATCCATCTGTACTACTCAGTTTCTGCTGCTCTCTGCTTTTGGTTCAGTGTTTCTGAACACAGACTCACATATCCACTAGTGCAGGTATATGCAGATATTGAATTTGTGAAGATCACTAAGTCAACATGATTCTCTAGCTAAAACTACCCAAACTAATACCTGAAATATCCTAAAATCCTGCCAGTCTAGGCAATGAAGAAGGTGTTCCACCTGAAAATGTGGTCACTCTGGGGTTGATCAACCACCTGTGGATCAACCTGGAAACAAATTTCTAGCACATGTCTAATATTTCCTAAAGACCTTCACCCAGCGGTCAACGTCTTCAGAAGACTCTGCACTGAAGGCAGCTGTTCCTTCAAAACCCAGCTGTTAGCACCTGAGTGCATTAAGACTACTAATCCTTAATCTAGTAAAGTGGAATTCATTTGGATTCAAGCTGAGAAAAGCAATTCAAGTGCCTAAATGAATGCTCAGTGTCATTTTCAGCATGCTCAGATATGTTGAAAGGAAATGGATGATACAGCATCCTTCAGAGATGATGGACTACATTAACTATAGGTTAATGTAGGTGTCGAGAGGATAGGGCCAGACTCTTCTCTGCGGTGCCCAGTGACAGGACAAGAGGCAATGGGCAGAAACTGAACCACAGGAAGTTCCATCTGAACATAAGGAAAAAGTTCTTGACTGTGAGGGTGACGGAGCACTGGGACAGGTTGCCCACAGAGGTTACGGAGTCTCCTTCGCTGGAGATATTCAAAACCCACCTGGACGCCATCCTGGGCAATATGCTCTAGAGGTCCCTGCTTGAGCAGGGGGGGTTGGACTAGATGATCTCCAGAGGTTCCTTCCAACCTCAACCATTCTGTGATTCTGTGATTCTGTGAACTATTAGAAGTAAAAATTATATTACTGAGAGGAAACAAAAGAGCTTATTTGCAAATACAGAACAAAAGAGCTTGGTTCAGGAAGGGCAGGTGATTTCTGACTGCTTTTTTAACTGTAGAAACTTGTAAAGAATTTAGGCATCAGTTTGGATGAATTTGCAGAAATTCTATATGCCGATGAGGCCTCCCCAGTAAAAACAGCTACAAAACTCAGCATGTCTCTGAATTTATCTTTTAACTACATGTAACATATGTTGAACAAGATTATTTCTTCTGTTAGAAGTGCCTTTCTGATTTCTGGCCATTGATTGATATCAGCACTGGGAAATTATATCTTGAAATTTAAAGAAATGGTGCTGATATGCTCTTTAAGGGATTAAGAAGGAAGCGATATCACAGGGGTTTTAGCAGGGCGGGGAAAGACTGGTTGAGCCTGGGTGTAAGATACTTTGAGGTCAGCATCTAGTTGCATCTAATAATGGGTTGCAGAAAGGGGATCTCTGGGGTTTCTGGCCAGCTCTGAGAAGAAATGGGATTGATTGGATTACAGCTGGCAAGGGTCTTAAGAGCCAAGATACTGGAGTTATTTCCCCAGGCCGGGGAGAAGAAAACCATTGCATCAACATAGCACAAGATATTTGTGTAGGACTTTCCCCCTGCCTGAGAAGAAACAATGCTGACTCTGATCTGATATTTACCTCCAGAATCAGCTGGATGTGTGCTCATGATCACAGTTCTCTGAATTCCATTTGGGTTTGAGCTCAGATTTTCTCTGACCCTGGTTAACCCCTCCTCTCATCTCTACTGTCTCTGTTCATAAATGATGAACTGAATCCCATATATCCCATTCCTCCTCCCCCTAAATCATATATATAGGCAAGTGTCTCAATTCATTTAGATGCAACTGAAGGTTTTTAAACACTGGCCTTTGATATCCTGCTTTTAAAAAGTTTTTGACTTCTTCTTTGCAACTACATTTCAAAGACACATATTGGACGGGGAAGGGGGGAGCACAAAGCAAAATAGAAAAGAAATTCATCAGTCCTCTTTTTTTTTTTACCTATTAAGATAAAAACAGAAAAAAAAACCCAAAACCAAAAAAACCCTTCCAGTTATTAAACACTAACAGCCTCTTTGTTTAATCCTATGGCACTGGTGTGAGCTCCCAGAAATCATGGAGTTGTCAATATCTACATCTCCATCTGTCTCTTACTGGAGAGAGCAGCACCTCCAAAAGCTGTTGGATTCTCCCTTTATTCTTCCTGGAAAAACAGCTTAGACTTGGAGAACTTGAAGGTGAAACAAGTGCCTAGTTTTGGCATTGACTTCTGTTATAGATGCCCTAGAGATTTATCTTGCCTGAGTTCTGGTATGTCAGTCCAGAAACAGATATCTATATTTGATCCCCTGAATGTCCTTCAGCTCCCTTCCCGGCATCTGAAATAGCCTTAGGTCTATGTCTAGACATGGAAAATGGTTCCCAAAAGTAGAAATAAGGCTTCACTCTGCTTCTTCCATCTTCTTTTGCGTACATGTTGACATGCCAATGCTCTGTGCTGCTGGAAAAAAAACCTTCTCAGAACTGTCCTACGACATCATCCAAGCTTAAGTGACACAGGACTACCTTGCAACTGCTGACTACATGAAAATACAGGATAAGGTCTAAGCAAACACTGACTTATAGAACCTGAGTTCCTGTGGAAATAATTCTGGTAAACCAGGAGCGGGGAGGGTAGGAAGAGGCAGCAGTGGGGAGCCAGGTCCTGGGCTCAGCGATATGAGCACAGTATTGGACATTGACATGAATGATGCAGTTTGGTGATGTGTTTTTGCTGTTGTAAGTTACAGGCATCAGATATAATCAGGTGCTTTCTACCGAAAAAAAATGTCTTCTGCATGCAAACCATGTAAATGTAGTGCTGAGCAGGGTGAGATACACAGAGGAAGAGGATGTGTGTGTTTGCATGCACCTCTTTTTTAACCTCCACTGATGAGGCTGAAAAGTTACTGCCTGAAAGGATGTGACATGGATGCTGAGCAGTTTAAGTCCTGGAGCACAGTCTAGTCCGAGGCAGATCTTTCTCAGACAGATCATCTCTCTCTTTCATCTGTCACAGCCTAATCTGATCCTCAAACCAGAAACCAGCCAGGAAAAGGAAGTAGAATGACTGGTAAGATCTGATCTGATAAGCTTCTACAGCAGAAAGAAAATGGCAGAGCTGTTATTTGACAGTCAGATCCATTTGCTGAAGGTAAGATCACGTGTTGGGAGCCTTTCCAACTCCACTACAGCAAAGAGTTTTCACTTAGCTCCTGCTACCATTCTCCCTCTCCAGAGGACATCAGTGCCCCGCTAACACACTCTCTTGTACTAGCCTACCAGATCCCACAGCAGCAAGAAATATATTCTGGAGGATGAATGAGCACAACCTCTGCCCATTGAAAGAAGGACCTTAAAGATTGCAGGCATCCTCATTGCACTACTCAAGAAGAGGATTTCCACCCTTTGGGACTGCAATTCCCAGTGTTTCTTGCAGTATCAGCTAGTCTCAGGGTGCTTCTTCCACTTCAGGTCATCAGAATGTCAATGCAGCAACAATGATGTCTTGACCATTGCACTTTTGGCTTTGACTTTTGACATTGGCTTTTCCCAAACAGCTCCCTAGAAAGACATACATGCATAGAATTATCTAGAGACAGATAGAGGAGTTAGCTAAACCCAGAAAAATCAACAGGACACTGGAGGTTAGTGTCCAGAATCAATGTAGACTAAATTGTAATTCCTACACCAATATATCCGTGTTTCCTGCAAGCTCCCTATCTCCAAATGAAGATGCATTTCTCTCCTCCAAACTGTCAAGAGATGTTAAGCAAATTATATTCATGATCTACATATCTCAGCAAAGGCCTTAACTGTACTATAATAAATCCAGTCTTCTTATGCAAAGACAAAGATTAATTTTATTCCCTGTATCTTTTCTGCTTCAGGATTTCTTAGTCCAACATTATAATAAGCTTGAGCCATTTCCAAAAAGTTTTCTTCTGAGTCACCTTGGCCAATGCTCCTCTAAGGCCTTGGAGATGAAAAAGAAACAGAGCAGAATGGCAGAGAAACTCTGGTGAATTTCTCAAAAGTGTGCAGATCCTGCTCTCTCCTTTCTCTGCATTCCTACTTCTGCAACAGTACCATCCAAAAGCAGGAAATATTTCAACTAAAGACATGACAAAGCCAATTACAAGTAATGTATCACGTAACCAAAATATCATCATCCTCAGGAAAAGACTCAGAGTGGAATTCCCCCTAAGAATAGGAAATTGGGTTCCCAAAATCATCATCAAGGGAGTGGAAAGGGGAAACATGCTATAACTCAATCTTTTTTTTTTTCTTTCAATCTCTCCCTATGTGTGAATTCAGAGAGTCTGGCTGCCAGGCAGTACATTATCCCAGAGACGTAAGGTAAAATAAAATGTTGCTTTCCTCCAGATCTCCCATATCATAATAATTCTATATTTGTAATATCCTTACCTAAAATACGGACAGGCACAGGCTGGTTCCAATTTTCTAGGATCCACCTCCCAGTCATTTTCTCCTCATACTCACAGCT